CGAGTTTTTTCTGAGAAATCTTATTTAATCGATAAGAAAATTTTTTTAACATTGTTCTGTAGTTACTATTATTTATTTCAATATGCTTTTTATCCATAATTTTTTTCGTTTAAATTATGAAAATCACGTTTTAATCGAAATCACGATTTTTAGGCGAGAGTAGAGCATACCTGCGCGCTTCGCGCTTAAGGCATGCAAAATTAAGAATCTGCGTTACCGTAGATGCATTTCTTCATTAGTGCATAAAAAATCGGGATTAAATTCGGATTGAAATTATATTTAAATTTTTATTTGTTTAAAACAAGTTTCAACGTCAAATTTTTGAAAAAAAATTTTAAATTTCCAAAAAAATCAAAATTTTAAATAAAATTTAAATTAAAAAAAAAATTTTTATTTAAAAAAAAATTTTTAATCTTGAAAAAAATCAAATTTTCAAAAAAAAATTTTGAAGGGAATTTAAAGTATTTTAATATTTCAAAGAAAAAAATGTACATTATCTAAAATATGGATCTAAATAAAGGATTTAATTAAGTAAATTTGTATTATTTTTTCTTTCAGAATTTTTACAATCTAAGATGGTTACAGTTAACATCTTCGATTGTAACAGTTATAATTTATAATAATTACAATTATTATTTTTGATAGTAATCGTTACCATTATTAATAGTAACTATAACAATTGTCAATGATACCACCTATTATTTTGTTACTAATTAATTTTATTACCATTTTAGATAGTAGGAGTTACTATTTTTGTATAGTAGGTAGAATAATTAATTTTTCTCCGTGTATGAGTAAACTAAATTTGACTTTAATAACTCTGCTGATAGCTTCCCTTGCTTATGAAAAGTTTTTAAATTCTTCACCGTCTACTTGAAAAAATGCGCAGTCATTAATAAATATTAATCAGTGAATATAAGAACGCTTTCCATTTTTTTGCGCGATTGTGAGATCGAACAACTATTGTTTTTTTTATCAAGTAACGCGATTTGTTTTATCTGCATATTCACATTATTATTTACTATAAAAAATGCCACTTTGTTGCATTAGCTAATATCACTTTTTACTTAGTCATAAAAAATCGTTGTGTACGTTGAGAGAAAAAATTATTTTTTTCCAAATTTAGAAAACTTTTTTTCAACAAAAAAGTTACTGTAAAAAAATTTTTATTTCTTCAGCTAAAAAATAAAATTGTTTAAAATTTTAAATAAATTTATTTCTTGTCACAACAATGTCCATATTTTTCAAAATAAATTTTTTCTCTGTGTATTCTTGAATTTTTTCATAAAAAAAAAATTTTTTAGTGTATTATTGTAATTATATTAAAATTATTAAAAAAATTTTATTAAAAAGTTATTAATAATATTAATTATTTTGACTGAATGATTAAATTTACTATTTATTGTCAATTAAAATTCAAAATTAATCATCTTTTATAATATTCTTCTATCATTACTGATAGTCTTGCTTCCAAAAAAAAAAAAATAAATATTTTTTATAAAATTAATTGCTTGGTAAAATCAAAGATTATTAAAAATTAAAAAATTTAGCAAACTACTACGGGCAATAAAAAATTTGATTTATTATGTTATGGGATGTGGAGAGCAACTTCTGAGAGTTATATTGCAAGCCTATATGTTACTATGTGACCGAGATTTTATTATTATCGTCATTTCAAATCAAAGTTCATTGTTCTATTACTACTCGGAGAGAAAAAATTTATTTAAAAAAAAATGAGCAATGTGTGATAAATAAATAATAAATTAATTTGTTTAAAATTTTAAACAATTTTATTTGTTAGCTGAAGAAATGAAAATTTTCTCACAGTAATTTTCTTATTGAAAAAAAAAATTTTATAGATTAAAAAAAAAAATAATTTTAAATAGACAACTTGCGAATTTTTATTCAAATTTATTTTTTTCCCAAATCTATAAAACTTTTTTTTAACAAAAAAATAGAAAAATTTTCATTTCTTCAGCTAAAAAATAAAATTGTTTAAAATTTTAAACAAATTAATTTATTATTTATTTATCACACATTGCTCATTTTTTTTTAAATAAATTTTTTCTCTCCGAGTAGTAATAGAACAATGAACTTTGATTTGAAATGACGATAATAATAAAATCTCGGTCACATAGTAACATATAGGCTTGCAATATAACTCTCAGAAGTTGCTCTCCACATCCCATAACATAATAAATCAAATTTTTTATTGCCCGTAGTAGTTTGCTAAATTTTTTAATTTTTAATAATCTTTGATTTTACCAAGCAATTAATTTTATAAAAAATATTTATTTTTTTTTTTTTGGAAGCAAGACTATCAGTAATGATAGAAGAATATTATAAAAGATGATTAATTTTGAATTTTAATTGACAATAAATAGTAAATTTAATCATTCAGTCAAAATAATTAATATTATTAATAAAAAAAAAAAATTTTTTAGTGTATTATTGTAATTATATTAAAATTATTAAAAAAATTTTATTAAAAAGTTATTAATAATATTAATTATTTTGACTGAATGATTAAATTTACTATTTATTGTCAATTAAAATTCAAAATTAATCATCTTTTATAATATTCTTCTATCATTACTGATAGTCTTGCTTCCAAAAAAAAAAAAATAAATATTTTTTATAAAATTAATTGCTTGGTAAAATCAAAGATTATTAAAAATTAAAAAATTTAGCAAACTACTACGGGCAATAAAAAATTTGATTTATTATGTTATGGGATGTGGAGAGCAACTTCTGAGAGTT